GGGGGGGTAGTGATTACGAATTACGTAAAATTTTCGCCGCCTATTACGAATTACGTTAAAGTCTCAGAGCTGATTACGACTTTACGATTTGCGGCTAATGTCCAATTACGAATTACGTTGATTTTTGCGGAGGCTGCCTACGAATTACGAAGTCTAAAACGGCCTGATTACGCCTTACGAAAAAGGGCTTGCAGGCCCTCTTCCAAGTCCGTCAGTCGAAAACCGTTCGTCGAAATCTCTCGCAAAATCTCATCTTCCGAGACTGGAAATCATTACACAGATAAGTGCTTAATGACACCCAAATCTTGTTGTTTCTCAGTCTTGACATAGGTTAGACTAATAATCGTTTCAATGTGTCAATGGTGGAGAATAGAGATGTCCCGTCTAATATGTTTTTCTCATTTTCTAAAATGATTTATAAATTTTCAACAATCATTACACAGATAAGTGCTTAATGACACCCAAATCTTGTTGTTTCTCAGTCTTGACATAGGTTAGGATAATAATCGTTTCAATGTGTCAATGGTGGAGAATAGAGATGTCCCGTCTAATATGTTTTTCTCATTTCTTAAAATGATAAGGATAAATCCTAAACATTGTCGTTTGCAGTGGTGCATTGTTGTACATATTAGGGCATATTACATATTAGAAAAAATACCAAAACTCGTGATTAGCCCAACACTTTAACAAAGACTTGTGCTAGCCCTTATTGTTTGGGTAATTAGGATGTGTTAGGTTTTATTCTACATTAGGTCTTATTCAACACATATTTTACTTGTTTCAAGTAAAACTTTTGTTCCAACACAAAAAATTCTCTCACCTAGAGCTTTCGACCAGTCACTCTGGTCTACCTCAGTAGACTGACCCAGTGAAGCTTGCCACGTGGCTTCTTTGAAGTGTGACGTTTACTGAGGAAGACCAGAGTGACTGGTCGAAAGCTCTAGGTGAGAGAATTTTTTGTGTTGGAACAAAAGTTTTAACTTGAAACATGTAACTACTACCAACACAGATGAACTTTCATGATAACATATGTTACTTGTTTGTAATATTTGCCATACATTGTGCCATGTGCAATTGTCGTGCAATAAAGTTATTCTTCATGTTCATCTCTTTACAGTGATCTACATTATCATTGGGCAGTGGGTAGCATATCTTTTATGAAATGATAACGTGTCCGTATTCCACAAGCTTGTTGTTTGGTGCTATACGGCTGCCTTCACATTGTGTGTACGAAAGATACCGACTGGTCCGTGGTTTAGATTTATACGTTGTGTATGAGGTACCCTGAGAACGTGACGTAACCCGTGTAGTCTCCCCACATGGAGGACCGCGCGTCCAGCTCCACCCAAACCTCGTCCCCAGGCTTCAGTAACAAGATGGCGCTGTTACTGCTGGAGAGGTGTTCTCCTAGCGACTTGTCGTACAGGCTGATGACGGGCTCCCCGTTCAGCATCAGCCTGCTCCAGTAGGCGGAGCCCTTCACGCTGGTGGTCATCCCGGAGAACGTGAACATGTAGTACCCCGGGATGGCGGGCGCGAACTTCCCGGTTTCCATGTCGTACGCCCTCCCCACGTTGACGTGGACGATGTTGTAAGTCACGATGGTGTTCTCCAGGGCGTTGAGGATCCGGTTGGACAGGGCGGCGGAGAACGCCACGAACGGCAGATCAGCCAGCCGGTTGTGCAGACTCAACACGCCGCCACAGCTGCAAGACTTCCCCGGTTCGCCCCTGTCACCTTTGAAACCCGTCTCTCCCTGCCCACCTGGCTGGCCGTATTCACCTGGTGCACCTGTTTTACCTGGTTTTCCTGGATCACCTTTCGTTCCTTTCATACCTGGCATACCTTCAGGACCAGGTGAGCCCGGGTAACCAGGTATTCCCTGCCCGCCCTCAAACCCCCTTTCACCAGGGAACCCCCTGTCGCCCTTCTCCCCCTTGTCTCCCGGCACCCCCCTAGACCCTGGCGGTCCTTGCAGAACGTACGACGATCCGTCCACGGTTGTGTAGACTGCTTCACCAGGCGGGCCCTGTCTCCCGGCATCGCCCTTCTGTCCTTTCTCTCCAGGCAGGCCGTTCTCGCCCGGCAGACCACGTACCCTGGTTACCGTAACCTCCGCAGGTTCGCCTTTGTCTCCCTTCTCCCCTGCCGTACCCCTCTGACCGGGTAGCCCGGGACGACCAGTCCCTCCCTGCCCTCCTTTCTCGCCCTTCTCTCCAGGTACTCCTGTGGCGCCGATTCTCCCCTCATCGCCCTTCTGCCCAGGCACGCCCGCACCTGCCCGCCCTGGGGTACCAGGTGGCCCGGGCGCACCTGCTGTTCCATGCGTGCCTTTATCCCCCTTTTCTCCGGGTAGTCCTCTCGAGCCAGGCGGTCCCGGTGTGACAAGTGACGACGTTCTGTTAGCCATTCCTCCTGGTTCCCCCTTCTGTCCCTTCACTCCAGGTGAGCCCGCACCTGGCGGGCCCTGCACACCTGCCTGTCCCGGCGCACCTGGCTGACCCGGGCCGCCTTTGCTCCCTCTCGCGCCCGGTCTACCTGGGAGACCCATCCATCCAGGTGACCCTTTCTCACCTGGAGGGCCTCTCGCTCCAGGGAATCCCCTCACACCTGGATCACCTGAGTCACCTGGAACACCTTTCCGGCCAGGTGGTCCGTGTACACCGTGCGATCCCTTCTGTCCCCTCTCACCTGGCGCGCCGACAGCACCTGGTTTTCCCGGAGCACCTGGAATGCCTATCGGGCCCACCAGTCCCATACTGCCGCGGTCCCCCTTCTCTCCCTTCACGCCAAGACGCCCTAGCGCTCCGGGCTCCCCTGCAACAAGCAAACAAACATGTAAACAAACAAAATTGATAACTTCAAAAAGTCTAGGCCGAACGATACTGCATCGTAGCTCGCCATTTCACCACGATGGTGTTCTGTTATTTTCCAACTTTTCGCCGCACTCTCTACGACTCTGTGTAGTTTGTCTCAATTATTATTTTTTAAATATTCTAACATGTAATCACAAGACGTGGTGGGGACACACTCAAGTCTTTTCAACTTATATTAATGCCGCCACAAAACAGGGGACAATACACTTACTCATTTTTTTACCTGAGCGAAGTGAGGAAAGTCTTGTTAAGTGCCTTTCCCAAGGGCACAGGATTTACAGTGGTATCTCAGTAATCGAATCAATTAACTCTGTGTTACCCTACTCTAGTGTTATCAAAGGAAATGTCCATCAAGCCTCTCATTTTATCCAATCGTTTCACGAGTTTCCACGTCTTCCAGGACACTCCTGGCGGACGCTAAATGAGTTTAAACCATATGCCTATCATTGCCCTTTAACGAGACAGCGTGCTACTAGTATAACATTACGTGAACTTCATGAAGACAACATTACAAGGACCTTTGTTTCACTTGACACTGTAAGGATTTTGGACACTGAACAAGACTATTTCCTGACAGGGGTGAAGGAGGCTATTTACATCAGGGCCCACCACCCTTAACTTTACCGCGACGGGGGCCGACATCGTCTACCAAATACCTTTGTCCCAGTGTTGACGTCACACTTAAAAAAAGCCACGTGACAAGTCTCACTGGGTCAGTCTACTGAGGAAGACCAGAGTGACTGGTCGAAAGCTCTAGGTGAGGGAATTTTTGTGTTGGACCAAAAGTTTTAACTTTAAACAACGTTACAGTTGAAGGATTGTTACGACATTTCGGCCTTTTTGGGGTGCCACAGAATGGAAGGTTTGTGCAGGTACATGAATTTCATCAGTGATAATGCAGCTAATAATTAGATTAATATTTCTTATGAAACTTTACAAACCATGTATCATTAGTTCTATATGCTCGTACATCTATAACTGCGTCAAGAAGCGAGAAGAAGTTCAAGATGTTAGACCGAAAACCCACAAATTACAGAAAAAGTGGGATCCTTTGTCTTCAAAAAAGAAGTCAAACCCAGTAGTTTTTACTAGTAGTTTCTTACTAGTTATCAGTTGTTCTATGTGTACTAATTGTCTGTTTTTATACCAAATGTTTCTTCTGTTCATGCAATTAGCCCTCGGGCATGAATTTGCAATTAAAGCTTTATATGTAAATAGTAGATCACATTAGTATGTATAGTTTAGGCCATGTTGATTTGATTATATGGATGACATCCGCGCGCGCATGAATTTTCGGCCGTTTCAAAAAAAAGTTTTCAACCATACTGTAAATCGTATAAAACAGTTGCAAAATGAGCAAAAATATACCATAAGTTACAAAAAAAAATTAATAAAAACTATACCAATGTCGTAGAATGCCAAAATCAAACGAAAAAAGACGAACTTGTAAAGAAATGAACTTGAAGACTAGATTATTCGCCAAACCATATTCTGTGCCATTTGCTCAACCCTCATGACCACGTAGATTTCATAATGAAAAGAACTTTTTTTTTTGCAAAACTTTTTTTTATTCGCACGCGCACATCAGTTTTGGGGCTCCCGGAGGATGTCATCCATATAATCAAATCAACATGGCCTTAAGTGTCATTGCAGTATCCTTTTCCTTGGCTATTCATGACCTGTACTTAGCTTGTTAGAGCACAAACGTACAATAAAGGTCTTTCATTCAATTGTCCTCAGATGCACCATGTACAACACGGAATGATTAAACCCCGTCCCAATGCTTCCCTGACCCCGCGAACTCCTATTCAACTGTGTTAAACCACAGAATAAATATACACCACTTTATGGTGTCACATGTTATGGCTTGTAGGTCGTAGCTTGAAGTATTTCAGACTTTTATACCGACAGTTCTTCTATCCCGAATCGTCAATCCATGGCAGGGCGTGTATTTATGTATCTTATCATACACGACTCAAGTCACCCTGATCCCTTTGATCCCTTTAATCCCACCTTACAACCTAGTTTTTAAGATAATCCGTCCCGCCTGTTTTTGACACTGTGGCGCGTATATGTACTCCGTAAGGCCACAGCAAGTAATTTTCATGGATGACATCAGCGCGCGCATTAATTTTCGCTTGATTTTGGGAAGAAAAAAAAAGAAATTTTGTTGCCTTCTGACAGTGGTCAACATGCCGAAAATGGGCAAAGATATCTGTTGCCATGCCGGAGACAAGAAAAGGCTCTGATTTAATGTTTTGTTTCCTACTTTGATGCAGTGATATATGTGATGCTGGCTGTGTATATGTGATGTTCCCACTGAATCAAAATCATTTGTACAATGATTGAGTCAACATTTTAAAATATAGGAACCTTGTATTTTTCGGCCCGCCTTGTTTTTTTCGCCCGCTCGCATTAGAATTGGAGTCTGCGGAGGATGTCATCCATAAAATGTACTTGCTGTGGCCTAAGGGTCAAGGAACCACCGTCTCCAGTATCGGATAGTATATCTAGTCAGTTAAAACTAAGCTGAAAAGCAGCACTCATTTCAGTAGCTTTGAGACATTTAGTACGTATGGTTTTTAGCAGGCGAAAAAATTATATAAAATTTATTGCAAATCCATGCCCGAGGGCTAATTGCAAGAACATGATAAAATAATAAACAGTAGAAATGATAATTAATATTGCTACCAATGCTACTTTTTATATGTTATTGTTGGGTTTGATGTCTTTTCTGTGTGCAGTGGAGGATGAAATTATGAAAGTACGAAGAAAATATAAGGCGTCACAGTGACAGACATTTTAGCAAACTTTCCGCAATATGTAAAGTAGTATCAAATGTGAGAAAATATTTTAGTAGACTTTACGACTTCGTACAGACTGCTGAAAGGCAAAATCCGCCTTTTCGTCCTCCTTTCAGTGTGCTTAAATACGACGTAAACATATTTTATATCTTTACGCTTCGTTTACAAATCCGTAAATATCCGCGTACTTCTGAACAGAACTACGAATTGTTACAAAATCACGCCAGAAACAGTAAGACTGAGTCGAATTTGTTTCGAGATATTTCTACTGAAGAAAGACCATAGGAAAGGCAGTTGGGTAAGAAAATGGCCATTCCTTACCTCTTAGCCCCATGTCCCCCTTCTGTCCAGGCGAGGCCACCACGGTAATGTTGGTACACGGTTTGGAACAAGTCCCCTCCTCTTCCGCCAAAACTACGCAACCGAGAAGATAAAGTATCACAACGAGTTCTATCGTCATTAGCCTGGCCATTTTGACGAGCGGAGCGGGTTACGCTAGGCGCTCAACTTGTCCTTGGGAAGAAAAAAAACATTTTCCGGGCCACATAAACCTTTTTCCCTGCGGCGTGCGCTATGTCTGGCACGCATTTGTTTGTATCAGAAGCGACTTCTTCTGCGGAGAGCCCGAGCTATAAACACAGAGTCTTCGGTTCCAAAGATTGTAACCAGATGGAAGTGAACTTGTGGGAATAACACATCAATTTTGCGAAGGCATTGGACAAGTTGTCATCGCTGTTCATGCTGCGCCACGGGAACATATTCACACCCGCCGCTGTGCCTGAATTTCAAACATAGAACACCCTCAGTGTGTTGGCACCCCGAGAAGATGGAACCAACGGTATAGATTCTCTCCAGCAATGGTCAAAGCGTGCGTGCGTGCACGGAATTAACCAAGAGGTCCCGGGTTCGATCCCCGGACATGCCACGATGACATGCCCTTGTCAAAGGCACTTTCTTCTCAGATGCACTTTCTTGGGAAGGACACTTTCCCGAGGGCACGACATTCAACATACACGACTCCCCTTACTTCATCAGGTGGAAATGAGTACCTAGATTCGGTTAGGGACGCCCCTCTGATTCGATGCTAAATGGAGGTCCCTTGTTTGGGGAAAGCCACACCCCACGCATGTTAAAGAACCTATCAAACTTTTCGAAAAAGAGTATAGAGGCCTGCCCCGGTGTACCATGACCCAAATTCTACAGTCACCGAAGTTAATGATTCACTACAAATCACCCAGAAAGGGGCCGACGCACCCCCGTCTCGTATTAGGCCCAAGATTAGCCCTTGATAATAGCTACGTGCTAGTTGGACAGCCAAAACTGTATCTGTATCTGTATAGCCGGTATAACCGCCTTTCGGCGTAACACACCAGCTTCGCGGGCACGCGGCGCGGCGGCAGCTAGCTACATTACACCGATCGACTTGTTACACCTAACCCTTGAACATCTAACTCTAAACATTGTTTATAGCTATCTAATGACAATGACCCTACTGTACTTGGTAACAGCGAGTTCCACTCTGCGATAGTTCTAGGAAAGAATGAATTCTTGAACACCTCAATCCTTGGTTGATAACTCTGGTACTTGAAGGCATGGCTATTTCTTGTTCTCTTCTGGGCTGGTATTAGGTACTTAGTAGTTGGGACGTCCAAAATGAATAAATAGATAAAACAAATTACTATTAGGGAGTATTAGCATGTTTGGGAGTCACGTAAACTATTCAGAACAATTGATGCTTGATTGTACATGACTGTCTTTTTGTATTACGAATCAAAATAGTCAAACGAATACAATAATAGCATTGTTACGTCCCACATGTGAACTTCGCATTTTTCTTTTGGCTTCAACGCAAGGAGGTTATAGGTTGAATGCTTCCCCCATCAGTAATCTCCTTGTTAGTTGTCGCTGAGAAGGGTCACTAAACTAGATATGTTTTTGTACTCATTCCAAGAGCTGTACGTGCTCTTGGCCGTTCCCGACCGGCTATGCTGTTCATGTTCATAGGCAAACCTGAGTATTGCCTCCATAGCGTGCCAAAAACTGGGGTTTTAGGGGGTCTTCATGGTCTTTGGGAGCTTTTATGTGCTATTTTCTGATTGCATATAGACAACATAGCCGGCCTGGCTGAATTATCCCCGTTTTTTAGATCTGGGCTGATCAGAAAACAGCCGAAGACCACCAAACCCCCAGTACTATAAGCCTGCTACGGAGGCTAAGCATTGTCCCTTGCAGTTCTCCCACAATCCGCTTGGGTTACTCTTTCAGTACTTCTACAATTGAAGGTTGAGATAGAAATGGAGCATTGTCAGGATTTTTGGCTGAGGCTGTTGACAGTACAAAAAAATGCACTATTGACAGGATGTCAATAATGCACTTATTGACAGGATGGTCCTGTCAATAATGCGAAATTTTCTGTTATTGACAGGATGATCCTGTCGATAGCCACTGACTCTAACAATTTTTCTATCCTGGCATCTGCTTGTACTAGATCAGCCATTGTTGACAAGTCCTATGCTTAGCTCATGACGCTATAGAGTGGCAAAATGCCTGGAAAAAAGCCTCCATAAAGCCTGGCAAAATGACCTGTACTAAATCATGATTTTTCACAGAAAAGAAGAAAATGACACAAATATATTCGTTCATAATTCGCAACTATATATATTCCAGAAATCCTTGTTTAGTGTTTACATACATCATTTACATTTATAACACACTGTTAAGCTTAGCATGAAAGTTCATCTGTGTTGGTACAAGTCATTATGAAATAAAGACTAAGCTTTAACTTCCAACACTTAGATTACAGAATTGAACAGAGACGGGGGGCGACACAAGTTATCTGGCAAGTATGACCCGCTACTACATTCCGTGAACAAGTTTGATGGAGTCAACCGAAAATTTGGGGTAAGTCCCAATTCTGTAATCTAAGTGTTAGAAGTTAAAGCTTAGTCTTTATTTCATAATAAACACTGTTAAGCTGGTGTGTTACGCCGAAGGCGGTTATACCGGCTATACAGATACAGATACTAGTGCCCGGAGTGTATACTTGCACATTACATGACGTCCACAGGATGCAATATTATAGAGGTACAACTTTTCTCATCTCTAAGTTTCTATTCGCAAAAATCGTTCAGTACCGAAATTATTCACATGATAACCTAGATTAGCCAGTTCATTTTTTAAAATCACCATAAATCTTGCTAAGGCAAGTAATTTTTATGGATGACATCAGCGCGCGCATTAATTTTCGCCTGATTTTGGAAAAAAAAACAATAAATTGTGTTGCCTTCTGACAGTGGTCAACATGCCTAAAATGAGCAAATGCTATGCCGGGAGGTGGATGGCAGATAACCACGAAGAGGGGAGACAAGAAAGGGCTCTGATTTAATGGTTTCTTTTTTACTTTGATGCAGTGATATGTGATGTTGGCTGTGTATATGTGATGTTCCTACTGAATCAAAACCATTTGTACAATGAAATTGAGTCAAAATTTTAAAATATAGGTTTCGCGCTCCAACAAAGGAGCGCGAAGGAGGCTAAGCAGGACAAGATAAACGGACGGACAGATGTTGGTTTTTCATACTAGCAACACCGTACCACACCATGGGTGACTATTTACGGAAAGATACACGTAGAGATTTGTGTTCATCGTAAGAATTCCAATAGTAAGGGCTGGTGGCAAAACTAATAAACTCCGCATGTGGTCCGGGGACCTCCTGATACCCTCACAGCTGCCGCTCTTGAGCGGGCGCCAAGTCCACGTACAACCGGTTACTTAAGGTTTAATGACCCGACTACAGGGGTGCCAGAGTATACAGTGCAATTTTACGGAATGCAGTGCAATTTTACGGAATACAGTGTAATTTTACGGAATACAGTGCAATTTTACGGAATACAGTGTAATTTTACGGAATACAGTGCAATTTTACGGAATACAGTGCACTTTTACGGAATACAGTGCACTTTTACGGAATACAGTGCAATCTTATTTATTAGTATACAGTTCAATTTTACGGAATACAGTGCAATCGTATTAGTATACAGTGCAATTTTACTACACTGTATACTAGTAAAATTGCACTGTATACTAATACGATTGCACTGTATTCCGTTTAATTACACTGTATACTAGTACTAATACGATTGTACTGTATTCCGCAAAATTGCACTGTCTGCTCATTATTTTTGCTAATTTTGTAAATTTTGTAGCTCAAACAAAGTAGAAGATGAAGTCCACTTTGTCGTTGATTGTAGTTTATATAGTAATGATAGAAATGACTTCTGATTGGTCAGGTCTTCTGCAGCTGGCTATATAATATTAAATGTAAGATAAACTTGTATATCCGGTCTCATGTATGCATTAGGCTTCATCATATTGGGCTTGATAAAAAAATAGACACCTTTTCTGATCGCGTCTTCAATAAAACAATAGTTTTTCTGCTTCTACCTTCTATTTCAAGCACATATGGTCTTCATTCCCTAACAACACAATCCACTTCGCTTGTAACAAACACCACATGATTTGTAAAAAGTATTGACAAGAGAACTTTACAAATTGATAGAAAAAACAATTAGTTGAACCCTTTTCAAGTTAAACATAAAACCAGATGCAGTGTTGTCCACTTAAACGTACACAACATACACAAAAAAGGAACTTAAGCCACAGCAAGTAATTTTAATGGATGACATCAGCGCGCGCATTAATTTTCGCCTGATTTTGGGGAAAAAAGCAAGAAATTTTGCTGCCTTCTGACAGTGGTCAACATGCCGAAAATGGGCAAAGATGTCATGCCAGTTGCCATGCCAGAAGGTGGATGGCAGATAACTATGAAGAGAGGAGACAAGAAAAGGGTCTGATTTAATGTTTTGTTTCTTACTTTGATGCAATGATATGTGATGCTGGCTGAGTATATGTGATGTTCCGACTGAATCAAAACCATTTTGATTTCGTACAATGATTGAATCAAAATTTTAAAATGTAAGAACGTTGTTTTTTCGGCCCGTCTTGTTTTTTTTCGCCCACTCGCATTAGATTTGGAGTCTGTGGATCGGGGGGGGGGGGAGGATGTTATCCATAAAATTTACTTGCTGTGGCCTTAGCTGGCGTGGTTAATCTATTAGAATTTTACGTCAAAGTCCAACATTATTTCCTCGTTTCATATATGGTGGATCAAGTACCCTGAGAACGAGACGTAACCTCCAGGGTCGCTCCACATGGAGGACCTCCCGTCCAGCTCCACCCACACCTCGTCCCCAGGCTGCAGCCGCAAGATGGCGCTGTTGCTACTCGACAGGTGGTCGCCGTTGGACTTGTCGTACAGACTGACTATCGACTCGCCGTTCTTCTTCAGCCGGCTCCAGTAGGCGGAGCCCTTCACGCTGGTGGTCATGCCGGTGAAGGTGAACATGTACAGCCCGCCAACGCGCGGCGTGAACTTCCCCGTTTTCTCGTCGTAAGCGTTTCCCTCGTTCGTGTGGACGATGTCGAACGTAACTATAGTGTTCTCGGGGGCGTTCAGGATCCGAACTCTCAAAGTGGCGGAGAACGCCACGATGGGTGCATCCCCCCGCCGGCCGGATTGGACAGGTACACCTGTACAGGACGACTCACACGGTTTACCTGCGTCGCCCTTGTCTCCCTTCTGTCCCGGGTGCCCATTTACACCTGGTGCACCTGTTTCACCTGGTCTGCCCCTGTCACCCTTGTCTCCTTTCACGGATGCTCCTCTCAAACCTGGCGTTCCTGGCTCACCTGGCGGCCCTGGCCTACCTGTATCACCTTTGTATCCCGGCTTTCCTTCCTCACCTGTTAGACCAGGTAACCCGGGATAACCTGTCTTCCCTTGGTGTCCTTTGCTACCTTTCTCCCCAGGTGGCCCCCGCGCACCTGCAAGCCCCTTCGTGCCGCGTGCACCTGTTCTACCTGCCTCTCCCTTTCTCCCGGGGTCACCTTTAGCACCCTTCTTCCCCGGCGAGCCGACACCTGGCCGGCCCTGCACACCTGGCTGTCCGGGGAGACCAGGTGATCCTCCCGCACCTGGTTTGCCAGGTGAGCCCTTCTCTCCTTTCCCTCCAGGTGTCGCCCTGTGTCCAGCCGACTCGGACTGGAGAAAAGACAACATCCTCGCGCTGATTTCACCTGGCTCTCCTTTGTCGCCCTTTACAGCTGTCAGTGCAGGTGATCCCGATCCACCTGCTTCTCCTGGCTCACCTTTCGCACCCTTCTCACCGCGTAAGCCCACACCTGACTTCCCTGGCGCACCAGGTACTCCGTTAACACCTGGATTACCAGGTGTACCTTTACTCCCCTTTTCTCCAGGTAAGCCCCTCAGACCAGGTGGGCCTGCTGCAAACGACAGTCCACTTGGTCCCGTTTTTCCGGTCTCACCTTTGCTACCCTTCTCGCCAGGTGAACCAGGTGCACCTGTCTGCCCAGGGTCACCTTGGTCTCCCTTCCACCCAGGTAGTCCTCTGACACCTGCCGGCCCAGGTGGTCCAGGTGAACCGTTGGCACCTGTTTGTCCCGTGTCACCTTTGTTTCCCTTTTCCCCGGGGAGTCCTGTGGAGCCAGGTGGGCCTGGCGTCAGAAAGGACAACGCCTTTGCGTTTGCTTGTCCTGGTTCTCCTTTGCTCCCTTTCTGTCCAGGTATGCCCGCAACTGAAGCACCTGGCGGTCCAGGTAAGCCTTGTGCTCCGTCCTCTCCCGTTTTCCCAGGTGTTCCAGGTGTCCCCGTGGCTCCTTTAGTTCCAGGCCATCCGGGCAAACCCTGAACACCGAGCTCTCCTTTCTCACCTTTCTCACCAGGTGAACCCAAATCACCTGGCGCTCCTTTAATTCCATTCTGACCAGGTGGTCCCTGCGCACCTGGCTGTCCCTGGCTACCAGGTGCACCGGTCGCGCCGTACCCCCCTGGCGGTCCCTGGTCGCCCTCCACGCCCTTCTGCCCGGGCGGGCCCGGGTCTCCCTTCTCGCCAGGCCGCCCGGCGGTGCCGGTTCTTCCCGGCGGGCCTGGAGGTCCGACCCCTCCCACCAGACCCATCCTGCCGCGCTCGCCCCTCACACCACGTGTCCCGCGGGGACCAGGCTCACCTGAGGTCAACAAAAAAGATGAAAAATATATTTTGATTTCAATTTATTATAAGAAATCGACATGACAGAATTGTGTCGAGTTTACAAATATACAAATATTCAGACATACTGTGCACATAACTACTTATGCTCTATACGTCAATGTTGCAAAACACAACACTGAACACAAACTGCTTGCGCACTCTACAGACTGAGGAAATACCGAAGTTTTGTTCTAACACTGTTAGGACATTGCTGGCGGTCTCTCCCCTTTTTCTGGCGTTGTAGGTTGGGAGTAAGTACAGGGAGAATTGCAAAAAGAAAGTCACGAGTAAGACTATGGTCACATGTCATTGAACTGAGAAAAAACACCAGTGGCAGACGAATATTTGTAGCCGGATTTACTGAAGAAACTTTAGAGCCGCGCATGGAACAGACTGCGAAGATCCATAAGGATTTGATTATATGGATGACATCCTCTGGGAACCCCAAAACTGATGCCAGCGTGCGAATAAAAAAAGTTTTGCCAAAAAAAGTTGCGTTCATTATGAAATCTACGTGGACATAAAGGTTGAACAAATGACACAGAGTATGCCATATACATGGTATAGCGAATAATCTACTCTTCAAATTCATTTCTTTACATCTCCGTCTTTTTTGATTTTGTCATTCTACGACATTGGTATCGTCTTCCAATCTTTTTGTTCAACTTATGGTATATATTTGCTTATTTTGCTATTGTTTTGTACGATTTGCAGTGTGGTTGAAAACTTTTTGTTGTTGTAAACGGCCGAAAATTCATGCGCGCGCGGATGTCATCCACACAATCAAATCAACATGGCCTAACTAGCCGATATCGCTTGGTCATGGTCGCTTTCTTTTCTATAAATAGTCACGAAAACTATTTTGGTGTTGAGCAGTCTTCGAGGGGGATTGTTATACCTAACATACCTTGCACACGACGTATTTGAAAGTTGCCTTTGAATAACTGGTAATAATGTAACTTTTTGTAACCTAAAACTTCCTAACTTTTCCCCCAAAAAACTATTTCAAGACGTTATAATTACGTTTGCTAATTTTGGAGACGACTTTGGCACATTGGGGCGTGAACTGTTTCCAAAGAATTCGGGGGTATGCGCACTGTGACCTGTGGGTTCAGTTCTGAGGAATTCTGTGAGAAGGAAGGTCACAGTGGTCAATGACCTCTGTCGTTCAAAGATAACCGTCATGACGTTGACACTGAACCCTAGATGATCATTTGTACTAGTATGTGACAGTGGGTCTATCATATCAAAGAATGCAGCAATTTGATACATTTGGCAAGTTCCTGGTCGTTCTCGATTCATCCTTAGGCCATGTTGATTTGATTATATGGATGACATTTTTGTAACGGAGTGGTTCAATGCAAGGCCTATACGACCACTTCTCGGCATTGAACTAGACATATGAGAGAAACATGGCTATGTCAAGAGATGGCGGTGAACGTTTGACTTGAAAGCCTGTAGATTGTAGGTTGGTGGGAAACACTTGTCAGGGAGGGAATTCCAAAGTTTGGCCGTACGGGGAAAGAAACTGTCACTGTAAAAAGATTTCGAACAAGGAATTTGGACATCCATGCGAGCATGAATTTTCGTACATTTCCAAAAAAAAGGTTTTCGACCATACTGTTAATCGTACAAAATGAGCGAAACGAATATATGTCGTTTGTTACAAAAGAAGTATTGGAAAACGATGCTAATGTCATAGACATAGAATGCCGAAATCAATTCAGGAAAAGAAGAAAATGTAAAGAAATGAAAATGAAGTCTGTGTGTTAAGTCATTTGTTCAACCTTTATGACCACATAGATTTCATAATGAAAATTAAGGAAACTTTTTTTGCCAAACTTTTTTTTATTCGCACGCTCGCGTCAGTTTGGGGTTCCCACAGGATGTCATCCATATACTCGTACATTTTTGTAATCAAATCAACATGGCCTTACAGATGAAAATTGGGTAGCCTGGGTGCGTTCCTTTATGTATACCGGGGCTTCCATACACACTTTCTAAAATATTTTAGGGAGCGAGTGTAGGAGCCCCAGTATACAAATAGGTGGGGTCGTGTGGCGGAGTGCTCGACTCGGAACCAAGAGGTCCCGGGTTCGAGTCCTCACATGTCACCGATCTTGTGCCCTTGGGAAAGGCACTTTACACGACTTTTCTCACTTAGCTCAGGTGAAAATGAGTATTGTATTGTCCCCTGTGTTGGTGGCGGCATTAATATAAGTTGAAAAAAACTTGAGTGTGCCGTCACCACGTCTTGTGATTACATGTTGGCATATGAAAAAACTAGGATGGTACCATGGCTATAGATCGGACGCCTCCAATCCTGGTTTAGCTTATTATGTTTACCGAAGGAAAACATATTGTTTTTACTCAGTTTCTTCCTCCTCTTCTGTTCCAAACACTAACCTCTGACCTGGCCAATGACATGATTTGTTGACGTCTGTCACCATGGTGACTGGTGTTGGGTTACATAATGTTGCAATTTCATGGTCTGCTCTACTCCTGTCACCATATACTCGTAGTAAATGTATGTGAATGTGTTTGAGTAAGAATTAACAGGGCAGACCATGTCCGAAGGTAAATATTATGCATTTGCTTTGCAAATGTTACTTATCTAGTTTGGTCTACATCTCGTCCTACGGTTCAATGTCCGTATTTAGAGCTTTCTGTTACAGACGAATGTTAACGAATAGCAGGTGTACGGCATGTCAATGGTACAAATGCAACGCTTCTGTTGCCGGTTACCGAGATCTTTTGAAGCATCGTCTGTGATTCCTCACTTGCAAGGAAACGCAAATTTTCGCCGTTCTAGAGACGCTGTCCGCTCGGTGGGGATGCAGCCTGAATTTTCAGGACATTCAGTGCAGTGGCGATGCACTAGCCTCTAGCAGGCTTCGGCAGGCGGCTGGAAAGAGTAGAAATGGGCCAAATAGAGACATAACATGCCAGGGGAGTTTTTCTGCTGGGAGAGAATATTTTTCGGGTGCGGTAAAATGTTCTCTCCCAGCAGCGAGTAACTCCCCTTGCATGTTATCTGTCTATTTGGCCTCCCGAAGCCTGCTAGAGGCTAGCGATGCACACCTTCAAGCAAAATGACAGACAGTGTAGAAATATGATTCTGTCACTTGTCTTCTGCCATTTCACAACAAATCTTCCATTTTTTCGAATTCACCGGCAACTATCGTTCACAGGTGTCTTTTCTACAAACATCGTGATAACGGAACTGTCTTCGTTACATTAAAAAGACAACAACTTTGTATGCAGCTGAAATCGTCGTGTCGACTTTGGAACGTTAACCAGCTGAGAAACTTAACCGTGGATCGCTAATCTCCAAGCAGATCCATTTCGCTGGCAAAAAAGACAGTATCAAATTGGCCAGGCAGTATCCATTAGCCAGAGAAGGTTGGTGGGGGGTAGCGACAAAAAAAAACAACAACTTGTTTTTGTCAACAGCCATATATAAAAAGCTAAAGATCATTTCCCCACAACCTCTGCTTGGAGAGTAGTAGATCGCTAGAGAGGAGGCGAGGGCTATCAACCGCCTCGTACGATGAAACTACGCCGCTTTGAGTTTTCAACGACGGGAAACGGTAGTCTACACCAGGCTTCTTTTGCAGGCTGAATAAATCGTAGAAATCGGACTAAAAAGGGTATTAGTTGACAAGAGAAGCGCCGGCCATCGACGATCCAATGATTGGCCTGCACGAAAGTTGGATCGTCGATGGCCGGCTACATTTTCTGGTCAATTAATTACTCTCCAAGCAGAGGTTGATGGTTGAAGATCGTTTGCTTTTTATATATGGCCCGTTTTTTGTCGCTACCACCATATATAAAAAGCAAACAATCTTCCACTATCAACCTCTGCTTGGAGAGTACAATTAATACCTTTTTAGGCTGATTTCTACGATTTATTCAGTCTGCAAAAGAAGTCTGGTGGAGACTAGTGAAAGGGGTAGTGAAGCTAGCCTCCACCAGGCCTTTCTACGGGAATACGGATCGTAGAATTCGGCAAAAAAGAGAATCAAATTGGCCAAGGGAGTCCGGCCGCGGGGAGGTACTAGTAGTTTCGTTCCCTGCGCGGCGTAGTCAAACCCTACAAGGCGGCCAAACTCCCCCGGCAAATATTCTCCTACATATAGCCAGCGTAGTTAGTCTGGTAGAGACTATAGTGAAGCCATCAACCGATATGACATAGCCAAAAAAACTTAACCCTACCTTTTGGACCAACGTCCCCCTTGGTCCCAGGTTCAGCCACCACAGTGATGTTTGTGCATGACTTGGAGCACGTTCCCTCCTCCGCAACTTCACGTGATGCCAAAACGACCCACCGACAACAGAGAAGGGAAAACAAAGCGACATACATCAGTGCCAACTTTGCCACGTTTTCGGCCATTGTCACAACACAGTGAGACTGAATATGTGTCATCGGATACAGTGAAACGCTCCAACTCGGTTTGGCAGAGCAACAACATATCCTTGGAGTTGGATCACACAAGTGAGTTATTTGGCTTGTGCTTGGAGCGCGTGTACGTGGTAGGATGCTGGTTTGGTTCTCCGTGCCCGCTGGAATTCATTTGTCCGTGTCAGGTTCGAAAGGCTACAGCAAGTAAATTTTATGGATGACATCTCCAAATCTAATGCGAGCGGGCGAAAAAACAAGGCAGGCCAACAAAGAAACAAGATTCCTACATGTTCAAATTTTGATATCATAAACCTGGTTAATCAAGAAATGATACATATTGTGCTAAGTTTACTGTCAACTATTACAACATCCATTTGTCACTGAAACAACTTTGAAAAATAGAATTTTCAATCATTGTACCAATGGTTTTGATTCAGTGGAATCATCACATATACACAGCCAACATCACATATTAAAGAAATGAAATATTTCAATGCATCAAAGTGACAGACAAAACAATACATCAGAGCCTTGTCTTGTCTCCCATCTTCATATTTATCTGTCATTTACGTTCTAGCTATTACGTTCCAAGACATGCTAGTTTGCTAATTTTCGGCATGTTGACCGCTGTCAGAAGGCAAAAAAAATTCTTGTTCCCCCCCCCCCCATCAGGCGAAAGTCAATGCGCGAGTTGATGTCATCCATAACATTGACTTGCTGTGGCCTTAGCTGCGACGAATCAGCTGCGGGCCAGTTCGCGGTACCGTCTCGATATTAAAAGGCGATTACCTCTCAGTGTTACTAGGTCAGGTTCAAAGTGAGAGGATGAGCACGTCTGCACTGATCGGGTGTCGCGTATGGCAGCCGCCCAGGAGGGGCACAGCGGTGGCCAGGCATGCTGGCTACTGACAGAAGCGATATGTCTTATTCTGACGAATGTGACTGTGTGTCCAACCGTCCTCAAAACTTAGCCATGCCCGGATTTTGAATGGGGGGTTCTTCCCACTGCTTTAGGGGATTTCAAAGAAAAAATCAGAGCTACCTTTTTCAATGACAAAGTGAGCCGTTTTCCTATGATTCCAGCCTCGCTGGTGACACGAATCTGAATCAGTTAATCTTTTAATGAAAAGTTTATTGCAAATTCGTGCCCGGAGGCTAATTACAAATTACAAAACATAAAAGAACAATGAAATAGAATATAAAATAACTAAAGTCTACATGATAAAGGTAGCTGTCTAGAACTTTAACTATGTCTAAAACTATGTCTGAAGGGTTTGACTTTAATTAAAGAAAAATCTTGGACCTTTAGATAAAAAGTGGACCAAAAAATGGACCTTTGAGCCTTGTGTGTGTGGGGGGGTTCTTCCGAACCATCCCTGGCTACGGGCATGTTAGTGTCAGGAACTGTTTAAAAATAGGGAAAAACTCTTTCTGAATGTGACTGTGTGTCCTAATCTCCAAGTAGATCCCAGGATGGTAAAAGACAGTATCAATTGGCCAGGCAGTATCCAGAGAGGGTCCATGCTTGAAGATTACTGGTATGTCCAATCGCCTTTACAAATTAAAGAAAAAAAACACACCAGTGCCCCCTAACTGCATAGCATTAACAAAAGCCCCATGTCAATATTCAATTCACTTATCTACATAGTAAGGTAAAACAAGACTATCCCAATGTATATCGACATTCATGGAGCTAGCAAAATGCGTAGTACTTAGTGAGAACTCATTAAAAATCGGCCGTGCACATGTTTCAGATTGGACTTCTATTAAGTTCTAGGATCTTCTGTATCTGTATCTGTACAACCGCCTTTCGGCGTAACACACCAGCTTCGCAGGCACGCGGCGCGGCGGCAGCTAGCTACATCTTCTAGTACTACTGTACACTTCTGAACTTGCAAAAGACAGGACTTAATTTTACTGCTGTGTGTCGACACTGTGAGGACAGGCGCATTGAAAAATACATCAGGGGCATGGCATTGAGAGTGTATATTTTAAGTACAGGTTCATTGCGAAACCAGGGAACCATTTTTTTTCGTTTGGTGAGCCAAATGGCTACAGGGCATAGTTTTCAACAAAAGTAGCTCAAACAAAAAGGTTCAAACAAAAAAAAAGGAGACGACAGAATAGAAACGAGTTGGTCACTAAGGTAACAAAGTTTAAAAAAATACAGGAATTCAGACCGCGAAGAAAATGTGTTTTTTGTACGAAATAATTTTCTTTACACGGATAAAATACGAGAATATAGGGAAATAATTGAAATGTGATGTTTCTGGGTTGAAACTTGTCCCAAAAATGATTACAATGTACTTCTGTCATAGAAATGACACATTCCGTCTCATCTGTTTTATCTTTTATTGCAAGTTCTTACCGTAGGCTAATTGCAAATAAATGCATTTAACATGAAATTTAAAGGATGGACAATGGGTAACAATATAGTATGTGACTACTCTAACTACTAAACACTAAATTCTAACTTATCGGGTTCGACTTCTTTTTCCGAGACTTTTTATATTTATGGGTTCACCACACCACGAAGTGGTGTGGTGAAACCATATTGCTTTTTATGGGTTCACCACACCACGAAGTGGTGTGGTGAAACCATATTGCTTTTTCTGATGTTTCTTCTTCTTCTTCTCCTCCTTCTCCTTCTCCTGCCATTTTTTAAATGGATTCAGCTTCTTCATTTTAGGGCCTAAGGTCCTGAAATTTGGTATGGAGGTACAGTGGGCAAATACCCCTAGGCGTTTTTTAAATTATTGTGATACAGGCTTTTAGAATGGTTTTATTTGAGTTTTTTGGCTGTGTTATAGCAAATGTATAGTGCCTTGTTTACCACGTTTGGGCATGAGTCATCACAATGGAATGCAGGGCATCAACCAATAGGCATGCAGCTTTCCTCTATACTTCTTGCTGATTGGCTGTTGGGATTTAACTTGATTAACACCTGCACAGAAGCATTTCCATACTGACAGTATGTCTGTATTCAAGTGTTTTGGTAGGTATTTCAAGCTTTCCTGCTCCAGCATTGGAATGCCGGGCATGGACGTTTTTTTTTATTTTGAAAATCAACAGTTTGCATTATGCAATTAAAAATCCTAACCAATAAAGTAGGGAATAGCTATCCAACTGTTGTTTTAGTTGTATTTTACTTCATATTATAGTTATATCAATGTAAATCATTGTTTTCCCTTGTGTTTCTCATTCTTTCCCTGCCATGTCGTAAAATGTGGTGAACCCATCGCTGTATTTGCTCCAAAGCAAATATTGGCCTTTCTAGTTCATTATATAATTTCTGAAGAAGACCGATTTACGTTATTAAGTTACGGTATTACAACGAGAAAAGTCTCCTATCTTTGACACGCATTATTTGTCGCTGATAGACAGATGGTATCAACCTTTCAATCAGTGTTACGAGCACCCAGCCCGTGCTTATATTATCATCTGAACAGATCCAGCGGCGCTAGCTGTCAGGACGGCCGCAGTGTGCCGGGCAGGGGTCGTCAGTGTGCCGGGCAGGGGTCGCCAGTGTACCGGGCAGGGGTCGACAGTGTGCCGGGCAGGGGTCGACAGTGTGCCGGGCAGGGGTCTCCATTGTCCCGGTGACCTAGGGGGCCTTGCTCTCATCAATCAACCTGTCCCGGAGGTGTCTAAACATGGGGACGGGGCGCGATATTCACTGGGGGGATGTGTGAGTGTCGTGAGTTTGGAAAACGCTTTATTATAGGGCTTATAGCCCAGTGACTCACTGATGAAAGACGATGTACACAATGTTGATGCATGCTAAACTGACTATGGGATTCACGCTAAACAGACTGTTTCAAGGGCCTACACAGGCCAGTTTCTCGGCTCCAGGGCCAACACGCGGCCCCCATGGAAACATATATCAATGAATGAATGACGACCTTTATTGCACATTTTTGCCACACTGGGATAAGTACAGGTCATGTTGGACTGGCGGCATCTAGCGGGGCATCTCATCACAGCACATGTCAGTTCTTAGCAATCTTGGGGCATGAAAGAGGGCATCAGCCTACAGTACAGGACTACTACACACAGACCTTCAGAGATAATCTTGCAATATATTTTATCGAACATGTAATTTGATAACACGCCAAAAAGAAGCCGAAGTTGAAAGCCTAAACATATGCATGCTATGAGAGTACTGTTGAAGGCTAGCCTCCTGTGCAGGCTCCTGGGCTGGTATGAATTTTGATTTTTTAACATGCTAACGCGTTATTTTAATAGCCGGCCATCCTACAACCACGCCTACATGGCCGGCTATTAAAATGAATGAATCAAAGATCTTTATTGTACATTTTTGCTAGCCTCTACCAGGCACCGCGGATCGAAATTGGAGCTTCTATGGCCCTGGATCTTCTCTGGTATACTATCCGTTTATTTCGGCCAATTTCTACTATTTTTCCAGCGGTCCGCGGTGCCTGGTAGAGGCTACATTTTTGCTCATTACGAACTAAGTACAGGTCACGGCAAATAGCGATGGTAGACTAAAATATATCTATAGTAAAACTACATATGTACAGGTTCTGCTTCTTCTCGCTTCTTAAGACAGTTGTAAATGTAAGAACAGATGGAGTTTATAGTACGAGGATTATCGAGTTTCATGAGAAAAGTGAGTTTTTCTTTTCTATCTAAAACTAGGGAAATAATCTTGTCTACAATTGAAGAGAATCTCTCATTATTATATAGAGAACAGTTCACAATAAAATGATTAAAAAATAACGCGTTAAAAGCTCTTCAAAACGCTGTATCAAAATTTCCAACCGCCCGGAGCCTGCACAGGAGGCTACTAGTAATTAGAGGCTACTCTCCCGTGACCAGAGAGTACTCTCCAAGCAGAGGTTGTGGGGGAATGATCGTTACCTTTTTATATATGGCCGTTTTTTTTTTGTTGTCCGGATCCCCACCGTCGGTGGCCGCGGAGCTTCTCTGGCTAATGGATACTGCCTGGCCAATTTGATACTGTCTTTTTGCCACCGAGAGGGATCTGCTTGGAGATTAACCAGAGAGGAAAGCTGTGCTGAATCAGAGCGGGAATTCCCCTGGTGATACCGCGCCTAGCACATCGATCAGTGCCCTGACGAGGTGTAAATTGTTCGGCGATTGTTTACAAATTTACACACACAGATAAGGAATTATCTCACCGCCCCACGCTATTCGTTAATTCTCAACCCTCAGGCCTTCTTCTTCTTACCTTATAGTTTTACACGATTTAAAGGCATCCAATACAATTTCAGGTTGGCAAAACTGGAAATATTCTGAGTATGGCAATCTGTATATACATTATAGCACATTTGCATCAGTATTTCATACTTCGGGCATTTCAAACAGCGCAGAAACAAGCCCCAAGATGAGTTTATTTTCTGGGTGGTACCTGCCAAAAATCAGCCCAAGGTCCTATATATACCAGTAACCATTATCCGTAACAATGTCGATACAATTGGGCGTCGTGTTGTTTCGATTTAGTATGTAGATTATTAAATAGAATATTGACTTTTTGAAAGTCTGGTTTTCAAGCCCTAAAAACTGCATTCATATGATCATACCATGTTTTGTCTGTATTTCCTTCTATACGCATACACTCTATCACAGTTTTCTCGTGTGGTGTTCCTTTCTCTTCCTAAGGTCCTTTCTTCATATATCCTTCTTTTTCTCTCTTAGACCTGTGATCTCAGACCGTGTGACTTAGCTTGACCTTTATCTGACGTTTTCTTAAGTCATTTATCTCTTTTGTCTTGATATCGACGAAGAAGAAAAGCTACATCACATGAATCCACTTCTTCACCACCTCACTGAAAATGCAAACACAACGGTTTCATTAAATTTTAAGTTTTAAACAGCGAGAGAAAAAATACGGGCGGTGAGTTATCTACTCTTTTATATCTGTTCGTCATTAGAATGACTTTTACGGGCACACATAAACTTTAAGTGTTGTCTAACATCATTTTATTTTACCAATTTTATTTTACCACTGAGTGGTAAAATAAAATGATGTTAGACAACACTTAATGACTGTCAATCGCTGCAACTGAATGTTATGGTTGAAAAAACGTATCTAATTATATAATACAACAAGAATACCACTAGCAGATTGGGCGTACGCAATCCATTGAAAAAATGTGTTATTTCTCTTTCCAAAATCGCGGTGCAACACTGGTCCATGATAGCCTCCGTAGCAGGCTTATAGAACTGCGGGTTTGGTGGTCTTCGGCTGTTGTCTGATTAGCCAACACCAAGTTCTAAAAAAACGGGGGTAATTCAACCAGGCCGGCTATGTTGTCTATATGAAATCAGAAAATAGCACATAAAAGCTCCCAAAGACCCCGAAGACCCCCAAAACCCTAAGTTTTTGACATGCTATGGAGGTTAGGTCCATGAAAACTAGACGACATGCAGTTCAATCAAATTTGCTCGCAACAAGAACAATTTTGCAACTTCGGGCTCGTTCTATAGAAAACAATGTCGCACGTAATAACTACCTACACTTGTCGGAAGGACTCCTTGAAATAATAATAATAACCAACAAAGGCGCGGTTTAGTTGTTTTAAACGTGGCGGGGACTTAACTAAGTGTAAGAAAATTAAGTGGATTGTTCATGTAGTTTACATAATTGTCATTAATTGAGGTCTCTGCCTTGCATTGTCAAGTTATCCTTCATAGCTTTTTTGTGGACGCCAAACTATAGTACCGTATGGACCATGCTTCTTTCCCTCCGCATTGGCCATTCCACAAATTCCGAGTTAATTACGTAGTGCGGTTAGATTGAAGACCTCCCAAATGATAAGAATCTAAACAAAAATGTGTGAAAAACGTGTCGGAATCCCCCGCCTACTAATTTGGATGTAAAACTGAGGGCCATCCATACTGACCAAATTAACCCTCCATGCATAGCCTATGGGCCAAGTGTGTAATCCCCCGTAGATACTTCCATGAATAAAAAAAAACAACAACAAAAGATAAAAAAGCGCAGCTACATAGCAAAAATCTTGGGGCATATACTAGTATACAATATCTGAAAAATTCCCACGTAGTCACCATATGAAGTATTCGCAAAGATATAGTATCAACTATTTCTTAGCTTACTAAAGTTTTCACGGACAACAAGACATAAGAGCAGAGTGCCAGTGTAATGCCTAGTAGTGTGCATTGTAAAACGATTGAAACGATATGACCTGATATTTCGATAGCGTGCGACAGAAGATATATTGATGTCTTCTTTGTTTCAGCGACTGTACAAAACTGTGCGTGAGGGGGCATAAAACATAATCTCCAAAGCGATTCACGTTACAACACTGAGACTCTGTTACCATGTAGCCTTCATAGCATGCCAAAAACTGGGGATTTTGGGGGTCTTCAGGGACTTTTATGTGCTATTTTCTGATTGCATATAGACAACATAGCCGGCCTGGTTGAATTGCCCCCGTTCTTTTTAGAACTAGGCTAATCAGAAAACAGCCGAAGACCACCAAACCCCCAGTTCTATAAGCCTTGCTACGGAGGCTAGTTGCCAGGCTGTTTCTGTGTGACGTTTCACATAATGTTGCCTCAATTGCAGACACATTTGAGAAATGCTAACGTGATCGAGGGAGTGAAAATTAACAGACGCGCCGGTTAAAAAAAATCAATATTTCTCGTAAACGTGATTTGAAAATGTGTGCTCGGGACAGACCTACTCGAGCTTTAGGGGTGGTGAGCTAGATGATATTTTAATAATCCTAAATAATCTGCAAAATATAAGGAATATTGTGTTGTCATATTTTAGAGTTTTGATATTCAGATAGAATTACGCGACAAAAAAAGATTCATTTAGAACGCACGACCTGACACTATGATGTGCATTTTCGGCATAGAAGATTAAAAGATGAATCTAGTTACGAATAAAAAAAATTCTTAGGTAAGAATATGTTTATTTTACGTAATAGAAAGATGGAATATTACGCAATATTCTGTTATTTCTGACGTTTCGATGTGGAGCGACAATGGTTTGCCCCGTCATGGTGACGTAACGTGAGAGTATTATGGGCTGTGCTCCGTGCCGCAGGGAATTCCATCATTGGAGGTCGGCAGCACGCAGCAGCTTTATCTGCCGAAACATGGAGCTGTCGGCTGTAGGGGAACGAGTTTTCGCCGCCGAATGCCTGGTGAGAAAAAGGATCCGAAAGGTGATGGCCCTTCCCTACATGTCCTCCGGTTTGTGTAGTTTGTGCCCGTGCACACGACATGTCTGTCTCACTATCGGTGTGTTTTCTATTTCCAGGGCAAAGCCGAGTACCTGGTGAAATGGAAGGGGTGGTCGCCCAAGTAAGTACGCTGTAGGGATGGTTGGAGTAGCGTCCAGATTTGTCCATTTTCGCTGCGTTTTTCACCTGCCCTTGTCTCACCACCGACATGTTGTGTTCAGGTACAACACCTGGGAGCCCGAGGAGAATATTCTGGACCCCAGACTTCTCGCAGCCTTCGAAAATAGGTGGGTTTTGTGGGGGTTTTCTGGCCGCCTCTGCGT